TTTTTACCATATAAACCAAGTAAAAATTTAAAAACTTTGGTGGAGAAAAAGTCTCTGAATTAATTATAAAAAGAAATTGAGACTTTATCAATCAGCAGGTATAGACCCAGAAGAGTTTATAGTGCCTTTTACTCCTGATGAAATAAAAACGTTATGGGAAGACAATGAACCATGACAAAGAGCTTGTGCGGATTTTTTGGGAGAAATTAATAGCAACTATCCCCAAAGCAATAGCCTTAACCTTATATAGAGAACTTATTGGATTCTTTATTGAGTTGTACATGATGCTCCAATAACTGGAGCCCATATATTTTATACTTTTAAGCATCTGATATCTCTACTATTTCTTATTGTATATAATTTTATTTTAGGCTTAGAATTCTCTTATTTAAACTAAAAGGGGAGGTGTGTAGAAAAACCTACAGTCAGTAGTCTTTAAGTTACCCACCCACGTGGGCATGGCCTCTTATACTATAAATGTCTGTGTAAAGTGTGAGCTCGCTCTCTCTTCCAGCTGCTGTATTTAGTTAGTGTTCCCCATTTGTGCAGAGAACTGTGATCTATCAGTCTACCCCTGAATAAACAACCTTTTATTATACTCAGTTCTGAACTAGTGTGAGATTTCTTTTAAGTGCCCATCTTCAATAGATTTTCTTAGTTATGACATTGGATAAATATAAAACTTTAAACTAACAAAGATAAGATAGATAATTAAATATTTTCTCTAAGTTTGTCAAATACAAATGGACTAGATATTGTAACTGTAACTCTTACTTGATAACTACTTTGTGTTATGTAATTTTACTATGTTAAATTTAAAGACCTTTCTTTTGATTAGACAGAAATAGAGAATTGGTATGGAATGCTTCTGTATGCTGTACATATGCATTGTTTCCATTGGTTAAAAATAAAAACTCTTTGATCAATGTCCAGGCAGGACAGAGTTAGGCAAAATCAAGGGCCCCGGAGGGGGGGGGGGCAGAGTGGTGAAAGACACAAGCAGCCACCCAAGAAACAAAATGCCAGCAGATTGGTAAAAACCATAGCCATGTGGCAATAAATAGACTAATAGAAATGAACTAATTAATTTAAATGTGAGAGATAGATAGTAATTAGCCTGAGTTATTTGAGCAATCATTTTATAGTTAGTATTAAGCCTCTGAGTGATTATTTAGAAGTGGTTTTGGGATGAGGCAGGACAGAGAAGCCTCAGTTTACACACCTCAGTCAATATAGCCCAGGGCTGACTGAAGATAGACCTCTTAGGTTTTCAGGCCCATCTGGGTTGTCTTAGCCCTGGGCTGACTGACTACATCCACATTCCACCTGGGTCCTCACAGGAAGGATAGTGAAAGACAGCCACACGCCTTACTGGGTTCGTATGGCCTGGGTCTGGCTCAATATTATCTAAAGGTTTACCTGAGTCCAAAAGGACCAGAAGGATGAAAACTAGGCCATCGTGGGTCATCATGGCCCCGTGTTAGCTGAATACATCCACAGTCTGCCTAGGTCCTTATGACCCTGGTGGGTGAAAGATACCCATAGGCTTTCCTGTATCCTTAAGGTATAGGTGTGTGCAAGAAACCCACAGGTTGGCCTTGGTCTTCAGGGCCTCAGGCTGACTAAATATATATACAGGCACTCGTGGGTCCTCAAACCCATGATATGGTAAGACAACTACAGCCTGCCTGGGACTTCAATGCCCAGGTTGATGAAAGACAGATACAGATTCTCATAAGTCCTTAAGGTCCAAAAGGTTGCCAGGGACCTCAAGGCCCAAGCAGGTGAAAGGCAGATAGAAGCAAGTCTTTTTCATCACTGTCCCAGGCTGTCTGAAGACATCCATAGTCCCTCTTAAGTTCTCATAACCTAAATATGAGAGATAAGGTGAAAGACAGTGACAAGCAAGCCTGAGTCCTCCCTACCCTGGGCTAGCTAAAGAGATACACGGGCCTGTCTGGGCCCTCACTGTCTAGGCATATGAAAGAGTGTCACTAGCTCACCTAGGGTTTCAGGGCCCTGGACTGTCTAAATACATCTGCTGTCTGCCTGGATCCTCACACAGAGGATGGTAAGACAGACACAGGCCCATTTGGGTTGTCAAGGCCAATTGCTGGTTTGTTTAATCCACAACCTGCCTTGCTCTTCATACTCAGGATAGTGAAAAACAGCCACAGGCCTGCCTGACGGTCCTAGACTGGTAAAACATAGTCAGAGGCACACCCGAGTCAACATGGCCCAGGGTTGGCTGAGTCTGTGGTCCTATTATAGCTATGCTCTGTGATATCTGTGACATGTGTTGCTACCAAAGGTCACATAGATGCCCAGTGTCTGGACTGCCATCTGTGGCTGTGTTGATTTTTGAGGGTCATGCTGCTCCTGGGACCATGCTGACCTCAGCGACCTGAGCTGACACCTAGGGTCATGGTACCATCTGGGCCAAGGCGGTTACTGAGAATCATATTGTCCTACAATAGCCAGTATCTGTGTTGATGTCCATGGCTTCATTTACCACTGAGGGCCAAGCAAATGTCCAAGATCTGGTCAGCCACCTGAGAGCATGTTGTTGTCAGAAAGCCATGCTGCCACTTGGGTCATACTGACATCGGGTTCCAAGCTGCAACTAAGGTCTCTGTCTGTGGCCCTAATGCTACTGGGTTCTCTGGGGATGTCTATGACTCCTGTTTCTACCAAGGCCCATGCAGAGACCTGGTCAGTTACCAGAGACCATGCTAGTGTCCTAGGGCCATGCTGACCTGGGTGGTCTAGATTGCCACTGAGGCCATGATGACATCCATACCAGAGCTGTTGCCAAGGGCCATGTCTGTGTCCATGGTCCTACTGCAACTGGAGTCTGTGTTGATCTCCATGGTCCAAGTTACTAAAGGGGACCATAGGAAACAATGCATGTAGAAATCTGAAGTCCATGATGAGACAGCACCACCCTATGCTTGTCCTCAATCCTCATGAGAAAAATGGCCCCACACTCAGGAGAAAGACTCCACCACTCACTACAGGAAAGGAAGAGCTGGCCCTGCTAGCACTGGTGTAGAACAACTGGTTCTACTTCTCACCTGAGGGGGTAACTCCACAGGCCCAGACTGACTAAATCAGCTACTACCCAGACCCACATACAGGTCATTGATTTGTCCCACATCAACAAATATACTCTCCATGACCATCATGAGTGTGTGAAGGGACAGGTTCTGCAGAACCATGGCTGCAGGATCTCCATGATTGTGGCAAGAGCAGAATATCTGGGAAGAGTTTCTGTAAGGGTCCAGTGATGGTTATGTACCAGAAGTCAGAGGCATTGAACTAGGTAAACAACTCATTACAACAAACATTTGCAAGTAAAGTAATAAAGGATATCCTGTGTGACACACTGCAGCTTCAAATGAAACTAAGACAAGTGAAGAGGTGTTGGAGAGGTGGGAAAGCTGGAGGAGCAAAGTGTCTTTTGTTGTTTGTTTCTTTTGTTTTTAATTAAGAGTTTTTAAAATTCTTTTGTTGGGAATGCCATGGGGCTGAGGAATAGATATAGAAGGACTGGGAAAGAAGTGGGACTGCCGTGCATGCTGTAAATTTCTCAAAAAGTAAATTTAAAAATATGTTTTTAAAAAGTTTAGATGATAATGTTATTAAAAAAATGATAATGTTTTTAAAAAGTCTAGATGATAATAATAGATGAAAATGTTATTTTTCAAAACTTTATTATGTTTTTGTGAAATCTGACAAATTATCCTTCTGAAAATTCAAACTAGAACCTATTGGCTGTATGAAAGGTCATGATCAAGAAGGAAAACTAATCCATAGGAGATGTCAGAATAGTTCATCTTTCACTAAAATATTCAAAGAAAAATGGGCAATGTCATTTAACAATGAAACTTCTGAAACTGGACTTGTAGAATAGCAGCAAAATAAATAAATAATATGCAACATTTATATCATTATAGCAAATTAAACAATCAGCAATAAATATTTCTGGATTTTTCCTGAGCTATCCAGTGAAACAAAAGCACACATGATTGCATGTATGTTCACAACCATATTTATGAAGCAGCGCATTTAGTATGAGTGTGGTTTCATGCGATAGTGGAGTGTGTAAAAACCCTAATACATTGACTGAAGTCTAAGGAATAAAAAAAGTAAGTAGTTAATTCAGTCTGAATTCAGCATGCTAAGAAAGGGGAGAGTGAGCTGGCAAACTTAAATCTTGAAGTTCAGACAGAAGTCCTCATATCAAAAAGTAAAAGAAGATATATGTTCCAGTTAAAGGGGCAGAGAGCAGGGAGGGGAGGAAGAATTGACAGGCAAGGAATAAAGAGAAAAGGAAGTAGACTGGAGGGGAGAAGAGAGAAAAAGAGAGAACTAGCTCCAAGACAGTGAAAGAAAGAACTAGTCTTTTGTCTGACTTCTGTCCTATTCAGTAGAGCCAGCAATGAATAAGATGCTGGCCACAAACGTTAATGAGGGAAAATCTTTAAAGCCTAATGCTGCAAGTATAAGATACTCTAGAAAACATTTTTTCCGACCGGAGTCGGCAAATATTTATCTGGGTAAATCTGAACCTAGTGAAATTAACAAATAATATCAACTCTCAGACACTCCATGTTTCATTTAAATTGGCAAAATAACACACATCATTTTGTGTCTTTCATCATTGGATGCCCAAATGCATTTTTTCTCTTAAAATGCTTATTTATGCACTGATGTGTCTTTATAGTAACATGTTACTGCAAAATGCCTGAAAATGTAGTGAATTCATCAATATCCTGGCTGAAGGCTTATGTAAACAAACCTTGACATAGTTTAGACCTTCTCATTCAGGTGTGTGTTTCAGGCCATAACTTTTCCTATTTTATTTATTTGTTTGTTTTTTATAAAACAATGAATAATTCCTGGAACTTGCAGGAAATGCGGATTTTAAATATAACTCAATAAATAAATAATATTTAAAAAGAATGTATCCAAGTATTATGAATACCTGAAACGAGAAATCAAAGTCGCAAAAATTTTGCCTCCAGAAAAATCTTTTTGAATGCACTCTTGACCTCTTTGTTCCTCAGACTGTAGACCAGAGGATTCAGCATGGGGATGACCATGGTGTAGAACACAGAGGCAATTTTGTCAGTGTCCATGGAGTGACTGGAACTGGGCTGTACATACATAAAAATACCAGTTCCATAGAAAATGGAGACTGCAGTGAAATGGGAGGCACAGGGGGACATAGTCTTGTGATGTCCTACAGTAGAATGCATCTTCAGGATGGTGATAAAAATGAATGTGTAGGATATCCAAATAACTATGAAGGCAAAAAATATGTGGAAGCTCACTATATAAACAAGAACAAGCTCACTGACCTGTCTGTCAGAGCAAGAGAGAACCATGACTGCTGGTATATCACAGAAAAAGTGATGGACCACATTAGACTCACAGAAAGAGAGCCAGAATGTGTCTCCAATGTGGATGGAGGCATTCAGAAAACCAATGACATAAGAACCAATGATCAACCTTGTGCAGACACTTGTAGTCATGGTGGTAGCATAGTGTAGGGGCTTACATACTGCTGCATAACGATCATAGGCCATTGATGCCAAAAGGTAATTTTCCACAGTAATAAAGGCTGCAAAAAAGAACATCTGAGTAGCACAGTCATTATAGGAAATGGCCTTGTCTCCTTTAAGGAAACCAACCATGACTTTTGGAGTGACTGATGAAGAGCAACAAAAGTCAGTCAGAGAAAGGTTACATAGAAAAATGTACATGGGAGTGTGGAGCCGAGAGTCCATGAGAATCAACAGGATCATCCCAAGGTTCCCCACCAGGGTGATAGTGTAGATTAATAGGAAGGTGATAAAGAGGGGAAGCTGTAGGTTTGTATCATCAGTGAGTCCCAGCAGAAGGAAGTGTGTCACTTCAGTCCTGTTCTCCATCATGTTGTCCAATCTCCTCAGCAATGAAGAAAAAGAGGGGGCAACACAATAAAGAAACAGAAACAGAAGGTATGAAGACAGTATGTACTCAGCCATTGTAGCTGTAACCTTTATCTCAATATTTTCCAAAATTATGTGCAAACTTGAAACCCAAATTGAATATAACAATTGCATACATGATTTTACAGTATCAAATCAGAATCATCTACATAATTTTAACAATTTATAAATTTGTAAATAAATGTATAGACAATTAAATTGGTTGAAAAATAATTAGTGTGGATAAATGTATTTGACAGCTCATTTCTGCTAACTACTGTAAAAGCTGACACTTCCATATGCTTACCTCTCAAAATTGCTGTAGATACTTTAATTGTGTTCTCACAATAACCTCTCACCAATGTTACTTGTTACAATTTCTATAAATTAATAAGCACAAGAAAGTGAACAATTCATGCATACTGATATGATATTTAGTTGTAATCTTGTCTCAGTAATGTCATGAAACTTTAACTCAGACTAAATAATTTCGAAGTAGGCCTAAAGTTAGACTTAAGTTAAATTAAATTTAAGCTTCAATTCAAGTTAACTGAATTGTTAAATAGTTTCACATGTGTTCAAAATACTTGTAACTTTCAGTGAAAGTAAAACCAAGCAGCTAGGATTCTGAAGAACGAAACTAGCCCTCTTTAAATGACAATTGCTAAGAATTAACTTATGACACCTATTTGATTTGCATCCTGTTTCTGCACTAGCTCATGGTTCTTATTACTTGCTCATCTATGCATTTATACAGTTATAAGCAGAGGTTAAAGATGAGTATAACTGCTAAATCATATCACATCTCAAGGAATGTTCAAATGGTGGGAAAACTGGGGGATAATGAGGGCAAATTCAACCAACAGATGCAACTCAAAGTGATGTACATCCACAGTTATATGTAGCAGAGAATTCTGATTCTATCATAAGTTGTCTGCTATTTATCTCTGAACATCACACTTCCATATGAAAACTGAGGATTATGAATAAGATCAACTTTCCATTAACAATGATAGAAAAAATACTACATAAAATAAAGTCAACTTTCAAATGCTTACTCTAGATCACATAGTCTTTCATGTTGTTGTTAGGATGGGACAATGGACACCATGTTTTGATCAAAGCCAATACTGAGAAGGCAGGGTTCATTTGCCATGAATGAAGTGTGATCTTTCATTGTCCAATTTACTTTTTCTTAGACATTGCTGTAAATGAGCATCTACACTCCCAAGTATTTATCTTTCCCTTCTCCAAACATACAAATGCTGCTTCTGTAATTCCATCTGAGCAATTTATTTTGAAAAATTTCTTCCATGAAATATTTAGTTTCAACTTGGCAGAAGAGTCACTTTCTCTTAATACTCAATTTTCCTTTGTTAATTTCCTATCACAATCTAATATACTGAGGATTGAGAAAGTCCCACATTGTTGGCTGCATGCAGCTCTCATATCACTTGTGTTTGCACACCCCATCTTATAAAATACTGATTTAAACATTTCTAGTTTAGTAACTGTATTTAATATTTCCTTACTTGAATCACAGCCTTTGTTGTCGGTATGTTCTATAAGTACTTTGGCTTCCTTATTGTAAGCCTATGGAAATTTCAGTTCATCAACCTGACCCTTAAAGATATTGTGTTATGAGTTTTATATATTGGATTTTGTGAAAGTGAGGTAGGTAGAATAATTATTCTTTTACCAGTAAAGGGAGTGAGAATTTGAGGAACTTCAAGAAGTTTTAAAATTATAGAGACAGTATAAAAATATTCTAGATGATTAATTAGTCTGAGTTAGGACTTTGTGTGTGTGTGTGTTTCAAACCTTCAATGAAAGACAACCATATAGTGCAAAAAATAATCATTATCTCATCGAGCAAAATATACTATCTCTTACTAATATTCATTTTATAAAGGACACATGACTTATAAAATGAATCTTTAAAGAATTTTTGATAGATATTTTGACATATACACTCCAGTCTCCCTTCAGTTTGCTAATAGCTGTTTTGAAATAGTTGCTTTCTATTTTAAGCAACTCATAGCAGAGATAGGTTCCCCAAAACTGTTTCATAAATTTTCCTTCTCACTTCAATATCAAAAACTTATTTTGAATTAACAAATACAGCTATATTTTATTTAGTAAATACTGTCAGACAGTCTTTCTCTGACGGGGTTCAAATATTCTAACTTCTGTAGTGCAGGAATGAATGGTGGAAAGAGCCGGGTGGTGGCACACTCCTTTAATCCCAGCACCCAGGAGGCAGAGGCAGGCCGAACTCTGTGAGTTCAAGGCCAGCCTGGTCTACAAGAACTAGTTCCAGGACAGGCTCCAAAGCTACAGAGAAACCCTGTCCCCAGAAAGAAAAAAAAACAATTAAAAAAAAACAATAGAATGGTGTAGAATGGTGGGAAGAATAACAATGCAGGTCAGATTTTGAATGTGTCTTGTGTTCCTTCTGCATCCTTTGAAAAGTTACTCACCATTTTAATTGCAAAGGACACATTGCTTCTCCCTCATAGTCCAGAAAATATGTCTGCAAATAACAAATAAAAGAGGGCTGCAGAACATCATATGAAGAAGCTGTTACATTTTTCCTTGATCTCATTTCTCATGAAGGTTGAACCCTAGTAGCAAATCTTCAGGTCAGGAAAATGCTGTTATGTACTCCAAATGATTACCATTCAGACTATTGAGGATGCCCAGTGGAATATGGTATACAGTCCACTCCTCATAAAATACATGATACTGAATCACTTTGGTAATACATGGAAAACTGGAATAATGACAATGAGTTAGAAATCTCTAGAGATTTCCCTCCAGGGACTATGTAACCCATGCAGCCACCCATCCTAATGAAGAGGCAATTAAGTTGCCTTTGGGGATCAAGATGACTATTATCTCTTTAAAAAATAAAATGTTTATTTTGTTTAATAAGTAAAAACATTAGAATATATATCCTAGTACATTATACCATTAGATATATGTCCATGTATATAGATTATATTATATTTAAATAAGGTTAAAAATATCTCTCTCCAAAGATTCATTGGGTCTTTATGATGAATATTAAAGTGTTTCTCTTCTCTGAAACACATTGTCCCTCTATGTTATCGAAAGTCATCATGCTGTGCAATAGCGCATCAAAACCTCTGATCACAATTAATAACTACTGTACAGCCTTTTCTAATGCCCCTTAACACTATGTTCTGTAACCTCTAGTCACCACTATTAAACTCCCAACTTCTTCAAAAATGTACATATAAGAATGAGATCAGCCAGGAATTGTTTATCAGTCTTGCTTATTGCACCTAACCTAATGACCTCTAATTCCATCCATGTTGCTGCAAATGACAGTTTACATGCTTAGGCAGGAAGAGCGTTCCATGATTTTCACTCTCCACATTTTTTTTATTTCCAGCAGCTGATATATTTAATTCTGAATTATTATTAATACTGAAGAGGCTGGATCAAATAGAATCACCAATTGGTTTTATCTATTAATAAATTTACTGCAAGAAGTCAAAGTTTTAAGCTTTTATATTCTTCTCTGAAGACTTGTTTGATATAAATTTCAGTTTTCAGACTATAGCTTGGTTGGGACAGAGCTATCCTTAATGAAAAGTTGTCTTTCTTGGATGCAACAGAAAGATTAGTAATGTTTTCGAATCCTATCTGTTAATTTCTATCATTTTATTAGTGAATTGAGATGACTAATATTGAGAGTTATCAATGACCATTGTTATTAATTCTGATCATTAGTTGTTATGGTATGAGTCCATAACAAACCCTGTTTGATGTACTATACTTAGATCATTTATTCCTTGTGTATTCTTATATGTTGTTAAACTTTTCAGACAGAAGTTTTTTCTAGTACCTTTGTAAAAATGGTTAGTATAAATTGTTTAAATTTGTTTTTATTTTGGAATGTTTTTCTTTCTCTGCTGACTACAATTGAGAGTTTTGCTGGCTATGGCAGTCTGGGCTGGCATCTTCAGTCTCTTGATGATGTGAGAATCCACTCTGTATGCTTTGAATGCCATTAGTTAATAAAGAATCTGCATTGGCCTGTGCAGGGCAGAATAGAGGTAGGAGGGAAAAACTAAACTGAATGCTGGGAGAAAGAAGATGGAGGCGGGAGATGTCATGTAGCCACCACCAGGAATAGACATGTTGGAACCTTGCCAATAAGCCACAGCTACATGGCGATACACAGATTCATAGAAATGGGTTAAATTAATATATAAAAGTTAGCCAATGAGAAGCTAGAATTTTGGGGGCTGAGCAGCCAGGAACAAACAGTGCCTCTAATGACAAATTGGAATGCCAACGTGCCTGACTGTATCCATGTAACCTGAGAAAGCTTGGAAAATAGTCCTTCTTACAAAAAAAAAACTGAGTTATAACTGAGTTATCACAACTTCTTGCTCTGTTTGCTGACAACTTCTTTAAGAGAGGTCTTCCTAATTCAGTGGCAGGAAAAAAAAGTACAGTTTCAAATTAGCAGCACAGACAACTCTGGCTCTTTCAGGAGACCGAGCACTTGAATGATGTTTGTGGGCCCAGGTACTTGTAGGTCCACTTTGGGTCAGAAGGAAAGTAGCTGAGACCATACCCACTGCACAAAGTTCCCTGCCTGGGAAGGCAGCAGAATCAGTCTACTAGGTATGCACAAGAAGGAGAGTATGACAGATTTCTGCCACCATACAGAGAGATATATCTAGGCTACACAGTGTGTTGCATGGCAGATTGAGTTTTTACTGAGATAAAAAAGGTTTATATGCTGCATGGTGCTTCCCAGAGTTGAGGTGGTGAGGATGGCTCCCATTGGGCAGTTTTGGAGGCAATAAATATGCTTCTACCATGTTGGACTGGATGGAGCCAAAAGGCAGAGTCTAGCCATACTTGCTTTAAAAATGCTTCTGGTTAGAAAATAATTACAGATACATAATAAATACAGATTCAGA